CCATAATAGCTGAAATACCTTTTCCCTCTCAAATTCAGTGCCAGGTAGGTCTTCGGCATTTATTTTTGAGCTTTGTCCTAATTATCGTGGTACTCAGTCGCAAGCGAGTAATTCTCTCAGTTATGTTATTGGTAGCATTGACGCCGTCCTGCTAATGGGTTTATTTCATTCCTTGAAGAATGTGGTGGAATCAGGCGGAATTTCTCCATATTAAAGTTTTATCTTTCCAGATGAGTTACTCGCACAGGCAAATTTAGTGGAAAAAATGGATCATTTTAATAGAATTCGTCTGCACTGGAGCACATGAAATTTTTTAATCTACTCTATTAATTTTATTGTCAAAAAACCAGGTGTGTAAGTGCTGTAGCTATGACTACAAAAGAAAACCGCCGCTTTATAAGCGATGAACACAAACGCCACCGCCCTTCTTGCAGTTTGCAGCTGTTCAAATTTAGGGAAGTTTTCCAGCTCACAAGTTTTCTCTTTTTTATGTGCTAGACTAGTTTTAACTTTGTGATCTAATAATTTGAAGTCATTGAATTACCGTCGCGCAAGATGCCTTTGAAAAATGTGGAAAGTCAAGTTGTTTTTTTTTCTGTTCGAAAAAACTCGTTCGGACATTTTGTATTTTAACGAAGTTATGAAGCATAATGCACTTTATGAGCCCTTTTCCTACGAAAGTGACGTTTAATATTCATGAATAACAGTGAGATACGTAATCGTAGGTAATCATGCAATAAGCGGAAATTACAGAACATTGATTGCAAATGCAATATTAGGGGGGAATAGGCACAACCAAGAACCCTCGATCCCCCCTCCCCCCTTCCCCACCAAAATAATGACGGGTCACTTACTCTTCATAAAGTCTCTTTGAAAGAATAACACCTGTGTACTAAATTGTTTAATGTTTCGAGAAGCTGGTGATAATATGAGACAAACCTTCTACGTTTTTTAAAACGTATAGCAAGGGGATACATCCATCCCTCAATACAAAAAAAATTACGAGATGAAATTCATAACGAAACAAAAAGAAAAACAATATGTACAACACTAGAAAGTTCAACGAACGTTCACTAAACCGGCAAACCCATCAATGTTTTTTTTAGCGCTGAACAGACTTGATCAAATCACTCGTTTTTGCTAAGTAGGTTCTTAATTAAAATTATGACATAAATATGACAGTTCAGAAATTCACTGGTCTTATTTTCATCTCGGTTCTCTTTAGGGAGTAATGATAACCTTTCCAGCCTTTCCAGTTCACACCATTAGCATAGGAGGAGTGATTGCCACGAAGATACAAGCCATTGAGATTTGACGCATGGCACGCGCTGTACCACCAGGCTCCATTGAATGCAATGGCGCAGTTGCGTTTTGTGTCATGATCATTATCGCGATCTCTAGTGGTGAATGGCCGATCATGGGAGAGAGAGGAGTTAGCGTTTCCTAAAAAAAATTGGAATTAACGGTAATAAAAAGTAAATAAAATAGAAATTTACATTATTCTTATCAAACGTCCCTGTGAAATGAAAACGCTAGCTTGATATTGCTAATAGATCAATTATGATCAGACTTGAATTGTTCCGTCGGGCTAACAAGACAAGATCCATCGGCAAACACTTTCAGATTTAATCAACGTCTGGTCTGCACTGTCTAGGATTATTGCATT